AGAAAGAGGACGTGTGGAACATCGTTTTTCTGTGCAGCCTGAACACCTGTGAGAGTTGAGAGTATTTTTAAAATATTGGGGATTTATCACTGCTGTCTATGGGAATTTACTTGTAGCGGTGCACCCTGCAAGGACACTTTTCAAAATACTTGTTTGTGAGGGCGCTATTGAAGATGTATGGATGATTTTCTTTAGAAAAAACCTTTCTTGAGGGCGCTATTTAGAGATGTACTGTCACTTTTCAAAAACCTCCTTGAGGGCGCTATTTAAGATTTGTGGACAATTTTCCAAAAACTTTTCCTTGAGGGCGCTATTTTGGTAACGGAAATATAGGGGGCGCTGTAACTACATGTGCATCAACTAGTAACATAGCATACAGCATACAGGTTCGTCATTGACTTAGTTTTAATCGTGGAAATATTTTATTCAAAGTTTATTGCTAGTAAGTGGTATATATGTGATGCGTAGGAGATGGTATTGGTTAGTTAAGCGTTTAAAGGACAATATTTTTTACTTTTTTTTTTTGCCATAGCTGGAATTTATGTTTTGTTGTCCTAGATTATAATTTTTAAATTTAATTTCAAGTTACAGTGAGGCACAAAATTTTATTCTTTCAAATAAATCATAATCAGCATTAATGAGTCATTTATATGGGTATTATAACAAAACTTTTCTTTCTACATGTATTTCTGAATAAAGTCTAAAATCACAGGAGGGTCACCGAATCTGCCCCCGTCATCGCAAACGGGAATCTCAAATGACAAGGTGCGTAGTACTTTTTGCAGCTCTGTATTTTTGATAACGCCCTCGATATTTTGACAGCCCAGTATCCTTTCCTTTACTGTTTAGGGATATTGGACACTTGTTGCCGACTGGATAAAAGTAGATATGGCAGTGAGGATAGAAGGAACATATGCTGTCTACACTAGAAACCTGTCTTCTGCAGTGACTGCATCTTTTAGGTATTCAAGATATGATGTGTAAGCATAAAACATATTCCAATACCAGCATAATTTACAATATTGTAGCTTACAATTTTAGGAAATTTTATACCTTTCAACTGTTCAAATGTAATTTGAACTATTTCAGTTTATAAATTTAGAGTCCTCAGAAATTGGAACATTCTTATATCCATAAGAAGGAAATAAACATAAAAAGTTTACAAAGTCATGACTAAAAGAGGGTACTATTTGCAGAAAGAGAAGGTGCTACTGGTATTTTCTTAAAAGAGGACCTGCATGTATTTGCTGTGTCAATATTGCACTTGCACACTGTCAATAGCTTCTCTCGCGCAGGTGCTTCTCTCACTGGGGATCATTTAATGGGGGTTTCAATTTCTGACTTTCCAATAAGGGCAGGGAGCCCAAATAGAAGATTTCAAATGAAGACACTCAAGCTAAAGAGGGTAATACATGTAAGATGCTGAACCAAATTACTTAAGATGTGCAGTCTGCTTTATTAACATTTGAAGAAGACTCCTGCATAACACCGCCTGAAGCGTTCAAAACATCTAGGTCTTGATCAGAGAGAGTTTCACGCCCCTCATGTCTGATGTGAATTCAGTTGTAAAGGTATTGCATCCAT